GCTATTGGGGGCATCGCTGTTGCTCGCGTTTACGCGATATTGACCCAACCATATGCTCGACGGTTCCCATAACATTACCATCCAACGTTGCTGATACACGCGCTGGTATCTGGACGGAGGTAGCAACAGGTAGGTGCTCCGTCATTGTTCTAATCACCGTCACGCCTCCGACAGGCGAACTAACGGTTTGCTCGGTCACGCGAATCTTCATCGTCTAATCTCGAGTCGTTCGAGATATGTCATGTCGCTTGCGCTCGTTAAAAATCAACTAAAATACCTTGTCATTGTGTAGTCAAACTATACGATATGCAAACATGGATAAAAAATTATTAAATCTCGAAAAGTACTCTCTAAATTTTCTGCAGCGAAAAAATAAAGTGACAGTCGTCGAGCCCGAGAAATCAAACAATTTGTCGTTCGTGTCTGATCTGATACGTTCCACCGTCGCGTCAAGGCGACTGAAACATTCACTTTCACGATTCTGAATGGCAGTATTTTTATCATCAACAACTATAAAATAATAACGTTTCACAAACTCGCGCGTGTGGGGATTGTAAGAAACATCCCAGGCTTTAAAATCTGTGAGAATCAACTGGATCACAATTTTTCTATCAATTGGGAAATGATGCGCGCCCGAGTTAATTAAAAAAAGTATTTATTTAAATAAAATAAAATAAATGTTATTATTTTGAAAACTTACCTGACTGAAGCAGAATAAGATATAATCTCGATTTACCATCTATATTGCCTCGAAAGAAGGGATTTATTTCGTGACAACTTACAGTAGCGTAGCCGCTCTTTATCCTTCGTTACTAGAAAGGCAAGAGAGCTTCTCGTAAAAGGCAGCGACCCGAAGAGCCAAGGAAGAGAAACGGAGTCAGTCTGGAAGCTCCGAGCTTATCCTCCATTAACGCGGTATTCGTGGCGGTCCACTTTGTCCAGTCTTCCTGTGCCGGCATTATTTTCAATTCCGGGCCCGATCCGAAATTTGACGGGGGGCTCACGGTTTCCATAGTGCGTGGCAAGTCGACCGTATGATAGCCACGGATTACCGCGACTCGTCGAGACTCGCCTCGGCGGCCTCAAAAGAAGACGGCGCTTCATCTCCACGGAAATGTCAACCTAATTTTACCAGATTCTTTTGCTGATTAGGTCTGAGAAAGCCGCGGATTTCTCTTCTGTCAGCTTACGGCCCTGACTCACCCTGGAGAAGGAAATCACGCGAAATTTTGCTTCTCCGCGCGGGAATTAAGCTGCTTAAACGCAAAGTGACGTGACGTTTGCTGCAACAAACATTAAAATTGCAATATGATTTTTAATACTTTTCTTTTTAACTCTTCTTCTATTGAGAATAATATTCTATGAGAGATATTCTCTATTGAATGTGCTAAGACCGAAGGAATCTATCGAAGAAAACGAAGTTAGCTGAATGATAAAAGTGAGTGGAGACGTTCGCGAGGAATATTCTTCAAAATCCCGTGAATAATGTCGAACGATAAGTCGGCTCGCGCGGAACAAAGCCAAACTCGCGGTCTCTTTTATCTCGGATCTATTTTAAAAACTGTTCGCTCCTTGCTCCGCAGGTGCTAGGGGAAAGTCTCCGCGAATGAGCGAACTGGAATGGAGGGAGGAAGAGAAAGAGAGAAAGAGAGAGAGAGAGAGAGAGAGAGAGAGAGAGAGAGAGAGAGAGAAAGAGAGAAAACTACCTTCCCTCCCTCATTCCTCTCCTCGCCAAAAAAGGAGGCGCCGCCCCGCGACCCCTTGGTTTTGACACCAAAAGAAGACTACCCAGTCGGAACCTCCTTAAATGCAATGCTAGTAAAACAAGGTATAAACAGTGAATAGCCGTACCTATGGGATTATCTTCCGGCAGGTCGAAACTATGCGCGTGACGTACGCGCGTGAGATGAAAAGAGATTGCCGCGAAACATAAGACGACGGAGCTTACCTGAGTTTGCCCTCGTGTTACTTTGGATTTAGATTTTTCACGCGAATGTTTCTCTACCAGGCTTACTCGTACATTTACTACAGCGGAATTTTTCCCCTCATTTGTATGGGCCACCCGTTGATATTGCTGACGCGATTAGACCGCTCCAGTATTAAACTGGCTTTTGTACTACTCTCACGGATCGGCCGCATTACCGACCAACTACTACTAACCAACATTTATGTGGATCTCGAAGAACACTTTTGCCGCCCTCCGTACCGCCCTCCGCACTCGTTTCTTCATCTTTGTTGCCGTCTCACGACAAGCGCTTCATTCGCTTGTCAAAGGAAACATCAAGTCAGATTCCAACGATGATACTTGAACGGAATAACGTGCGTTTTTATATCTGTAATAAATTTCTTCTTGCGAAAGAGAAATATCATTTGCTTCTGATTCTTCAAATGCCAGAGAGAGGGAGAGACAGAGAGAGAGAGAGAGAGAGAGAGAGAGAGAGAGAGAGAGAGAGAGAGAGAGAGAGAGACAGAGACATTTTATCACAGGGACAGGAGAGGATTTTTACAAATATATTAGTGTAATTAGGGAAGAAGAATTGGTGGAAGGATTAGTGGTGTTAATAAATTACTTTTCCTCTATATGAATACTTTTGTTTCATACGAGCATCATGTAAGCATTTTCGGTACAATCGCTCTGTACAATCATGAAGCCTCACCCCTACCGCAGGATAGGAGAGACCCAAATCTGCAGAAATTTCGCCAAAATTCTACCTTCGTAAAAGCAAGAAAATCCGAATCCCTCATTGCTCAATCAACATACACAGACATGCATCGGAAGAACAATGTTCCCACCAGTTCCCAGATCATGTCTCCTCCAACACTTCGCGCTGCTACATCGCGCTGCGATGTAGCAAAATGCACCGAGTCGGCCACGTGACGGCGAAATTCGGACGAGCCACGAGAGAGCAAAACGTCTCCCTAAAACAACATCCTCCCCTCGCGCTACCATTGTACCGTGTTCTCGTGCAAAGCGGAATCCGCAGGCGACTCCGAGGCGAGTCGGGGACAATTGTATTTTGATTCCGGGCCCATTACCAGGCCGTTTGGACGCGCGCTTGCCTTCTTGACAAAGCGACTCGAATCTCTTACTCGAGTCCGCGAAACTTCTCCCCCTTGTGCGTGCGGCCGCGGCACGGCTATTGTCGGAGTCTGTGTATACTTCTCTTCCTGCCTCTCCCCTCTTCCGCGGGGGGAACAGTTACGTGGAGATAATCTTCTCTCTCCCGACATATTGCGCCAAAGGCAAAACGAAGCATGGTCCGACGAGCATTCGGCCGCGCCGGGTCTACCTCGAGCTCAGGCAGGCGAGCCAAGTCGAGGGTGCAAACGTGGAATTCGGAGCCGGGGCGGCGGCACGTCTCTATTTGCGCGAAAAAGGCTGTTCTTTCGTCAGACGCGCCTACGGCTTACAGTTCCTGGCGTCGCGTCGAAAGAGATTACACGGACGAGTTATGGAAGCGCGCGCGCGCCGGTGTTCCGCTTCTGCGGCAAGAGGGACGAACGAGTTCTTTTACATTTATTTCCAAGCCTGATTTGCCAAATTCGCATGAGCATCATATCCGAGTGCAGATAGTTACCTGGATATAATAACTGGAAAATAGCGACGGGTCTCTAGATAAAACATCACAGAGGAAACGTCCGGCAATGAAAAGCATCGTGGCAATAAACAGACCAAACGCGCCTCGGTCGAAGGAGACGGAGTTCCCGGCTTTTGTGAAGCAAATCCTGTGTTCTAAAAGGATGAAATTCAGCCTCCGTCGCCGGCTTGCAATCGGTTCGTCCATCGACACGTCGGTCCTTTGTTTCTCTGTGCAGGATCATCGCGCACGCGATTCAGCGGGATCATCGAGCCGCCTTCTCGACGGCGACGCACCCCAGCAATACACCTGGTGTAATCTACGAAGATAGCATCGAGTGGAGAGAGCAGGACCTCTCCCGAGGGCGAGGGGGAACGCGATACGCCATCGAGAGATCCAATCTCCGCGATATTACATCGGTTATGACGGATTCCTGGCGTAATTCATCGAGTGCAGGACCACGAAACGCGCCTCCCTCCCCCCCCTCCCAGCTCGGTCTCGCGAGCACACATGAGAGCAAGGGAGAGTGGATGCTAGGAGATCTCGTGGGGATCGGGGCACGAGATAATTCAAGATGGAGTCAGAGAGTCAGCCTCGGCGCATCTGCCCGCTCGCTATTATTCCCGCTGCGTACATGCGCGCTGCCGTTTAACGCTCAATAGCGAAACTCCGACAAAAGTCCCTCTACCTGAACCTCCTCCAGGCGCACGCATCAGCAGACCACAACGGTACGCGCTATATGTGTGAGAGAGATAGAGAGAGAGAGAGAGAGAGAGAGAGAGGGAGGGAGGGAGGGAGAGATTCCGCCACAACGGTAAACAATAGGATCATCTATGAGCCCCGAAGAACAAGGAATTATTATTGCGTAGCGGCTGCATCAACTAAAGCCGATGATGAAAACGCAGATTGTCGAAAATGATGGGCTTTATCGAAGGAGACGGAACTCGCACGCGACTCTCGATGATGTGTATTTTTCTTCCGTGACGTTTAATCGCTAACGCTAATTCATCGGCCCGTGTTCGTCCGGCGGGAGATAAACACCCTCTCGAAGAGAGCGACCATCATCAACGCGAGAGGATTGTCATGCGCAACGCCACACGAGGCGTGCAAAGAAGATGCCTTTCTTTCGCCCTCATTCGGAGGGTGACTAGGGGTTCCCGCGAAGTGGAGCTTGCAGTAGTGGGGGTTGATGATGTAACCGCACTGTCGTCCCCTCGGGGGGGTAGATGGCTACTGGAACAGGGGTTAGAACGAATCGCTTTCATCGTCGGGTCCGCCCTTCGCCCGAGGGTAGGGAAATCCCTCCACCAATGAGACGTCGTCGTGCGCGTTTGCACGCAGCTTCAAAACCGACCACTTGCTGCCAAAAAGTCTCGTCTACGATGACTCTCAGTCATGTTTCAATGTGGGGTTAGTCTTCACTGTGTCCTTCGCTGGTACAGTAGATAATTCATGAGGGACTAACTGGCCGCACATGGAAGCGGCAGCGGACGGAAGCGATCGTGACGCGCTTAGCCGCAACTTCAACTTTACCGGCAGTCAGTTGACGTGTTTTACGTTCCGGCCCGTTGTTGTTCAGTGATCGTTGTGCAGTGACAACGGAGGATGCAGAATCAAGAGCCGCAATTGTCGCACGTGCCAGTACCGCCACCGAAGATGCCAGCTTCGTCAAGTAATTGGTCTTTGGCAATTTTGTACTTCACGACTTAACGCGGGAGATTCCGATTGATCGGCTCGTTACGCTCAATACCCGAGTTTAATTGATCTGAGCCAGAGTGAACTTGAGCTAACTAAAAACCGCTTAAATTCGCAGATTTGAAAAAGGAAACAACAATGATGAGTTTATTAAGAACAATGTAGAGTAGCGTCTCGTGAAATTTTTGCTTTTGAATCGGTTTTAAGTTGGTTTGAAAGTGTAATTTTTTTCATTCAGGACGACTCCTCAATTTAATCAAAATATACTTGTCTTGAATCACATTAATCGGAATCTTTTGTATTAAACTCCTCCCCCCTGTCTCTCTATCTCGTTACTTTTTCCATATAACAGCATAAGATTGCTTTGAGGAGAATGTATGAATACCACTTTAAAACAAATGTTAAAACAAACGTTACTGTTCTTCCTGAAGAAGTGAACCGATATATCAAACTTAATGCCTTTTCACACAGTGAAAGTTTCGAGTTCACTCGTTTTACGACTGATGATTTGTGAAAATCCTTTAAAATATTCTCTGGATTCAAAGCGTTTCTTACGGGCGACAGTAGCTTTGTGCGAAGACAGAAGAGATTATTCAAGTTCTATTAAGAAAATGACACAGGTCATCCGACCTTTTCTCTTCTTTATGTTCGAAGGAAACTCTAACCCTTTAACTTCAAATAACTTAGGTTTAGTTTAGTTGCTCAAGATAGTCCCTTTCTCAAATGACGTGTCAAATGAAACTTTCGTATTATGCCGGGGAATTTGAAACAAAAAAAGGGTTTAGAATTGTATACAAATTTTATCGTGAAGTTATGGACATACGCGTACACGTATTAGTCATAATAATACCGGTTCTCATGGTGTTCGCAGCGGCACGCTAATGTTATCTCGTGTGAAACAACAAGCATGTGGCGTTTAAATGTCGCACGACTCACTGTGCATTTAAACGATTCATCCTCGGACGCAGCTCATCCATGAGAAAATAACGACAGATGTTTAAAACGATGCGACGAGAACGAATCACCGTGTCCGGCTAACAGGTTGTCGCGGGTGGTTGAATCTACCGTCAGTTGGTCGCCAATCAGTGCGCCGCATTGGTCGATTAAAAACCAGGAATGTGATTAAACACTTTACACAGGCGAGTTTTAAGTTACGCGGAATTATTGCGTTTATTTCCATTACGCTCGTAAGAATAATCGATGTATTTAAGGCAATCATGAATATAAATTATATAAATTCGAAAAGTTAAAGTTACACAATTAGGTTTCTAACGGTTTTTAATTGGAATAAACAGTCAAACAACGATAAAACAATAATTAGAACAATTATTAGTAAAATGGAATAGTTAAAGAGAAGTAGTGAAACACAAATATACACAATTGTATTATTTTATATTAAATTATACATGAAATGAAAATATAAGCATGATAGCCGAACTTTAAATTGCTAGACAATAATTAGAAAGATTGGGGATAAATCTATTTTCTAAAATTTCTGTTTTAAGATTAATCTAACTTTTTCTCAGAATTTCTTCTAGTGAAATCTGATTAAAAGTGAGTCGAAATTTTTTCGAAGCGGTAGTTATGATCTTGGAAAATCGTAAGAACGTTTCCAATATTTCACTCAAACTTGGAATTGATTTTAATGTACGAATAAACGTCTCAAAATCTTTACTGGAGTGTGCGTTTGTCCCTGTGACATATATAATGATGGTACAGGATACATAAGACTTACTCTTCGCAATTTCAAGATAAAGAAGATAAAGAATTTTAGCTTAACCTGGAGAGAATTCGCTCCGCACGAGTGAAAAAGCGTTTGAATTCAAGTAACTCAGTTGCCGATGTTTAGAATGAAATATCATTGAAACAAATTCAGAGTATTGTAAATTCGAAAAGAGTACGTCGATGAAACAGATGACGTATCCACGCCACGTTATTCTGGATTAATTATACGCGTGCGTACATGCGAGCGGCTGGTTCTTCACACATGTCGCTACATTCCCATGCTCGTTTATCGCGCGCACCTGATGGTCCGTGAAACAACGAAATAATAGACGTTTATCTTCACTGAAATATCGAATAAAGTCCGAAACATTACTCGCCAGATTAGAAAAATATGCTTTTAACGAAGTGAAAAAACGTCCACGTACTCTTGTAAAAATTTGGGAAAATTTTCTTAATGCTTCTCCGACATTATATAATCCGTGATAACTTTTATTAATTATTTTAAGATGAATACGCAAGCACACGTTCACACGTTGAGTATGATAAAAGATATTCGACGTAAATATTGTGATGTGCGAGCGATAATTTTAAATTTTACCATCCCAAGTTGTACGTGTGCCCGTGCAACAAAAGTGCAAATGAAAATGAAAGTACTGAAAATGCGAGAACAAGTTGGCCGACGGGGATCGCGAAGTATTTTTTTGTCAGCGAAATTGGCGCCGAAATGGCGTCGAGTCGTCGTCGCGGGCGGAATGCGAGTCACGACGCGCCTTTCGTGCCCTGGACATTGAAATATCGCCCCCGTGCAATTATATCGAGAAGTTCGTAATTGCACGCTAGACTTCAACCGGAGGACACTTCAACGCCGCTTTTCGTCGTCGGTCGTCGCGTCACTTCGCCGTTTCCCTTCCACCCCTCGTATGCGAACGTGCACGCCGCCCTGGGGATGCGCGCGACAAAGTTTCACCTTAATTTCGTGGTCACGAACACGCGTTCGTGGTCACCGGCGCTTTCGACGTAGAAGGAGAACGGCGGTGGCAAAAGCGCCACGTCGGCCGCGCCGCGTTGGCCCGGTGAATCACATCCGGCCATCACTCTCATCCCCCTTGTTCTTCTCTGTCCACCCCACCGCCGCCATCAGCCCCATCCCTGAAATTTCAGCGTTTCGTCGGATCTTCCATGTGCGGTTCGCGTTTCGGCTGGACTTTATTATTCCGACGCGCCGCGCATTCGGGGCAAGTTTCGTCGGTGCGTCCGTCGCGGTTCGAGTGAAATAATTGATACCGGGGTTGAAGACACATGCTCGCGCTTTAGAACGATATTTAAGCCCGCGTGCACGGCAAACGCACGATTTTACGTTTCCCTCTTCGCCGCGAGCCACACCTCCGGCTCCGGTAATGACAGTATTTGCCGCGTACATGCGCGATCGGGAACGCGCGAGACTCGCGCGCATTCACGCGCGCCCCATTAAACATTCACGAGATTTTTACAGCAACTTTACAAGGGGACTTCCTCGCCGGAGGGAGGAAGGACCCGTTTACGGAGTTACCGCATAAAAGTCGCGTGAATAATTGACGCGACGCGTGACGCTGAAAAAGATCATCGGCGCCCGGCAAAGTACAGAGCTCGATTCGTCGCCGATGAAAAATTCAATCGCCAATGACTCGCGAGCCGATCGAATGCAACTTTCATGCGGCCGGCGAGTGCAAAAACGCACGTTGCGTGATTCCGACGTGCGCGAGTTCTGAGTTTCACCCCGCCGCGCGGCGCGGCGAGGGAGCAGAGGGACATTCCTCGCGCGGCGAGGGTGCGCGTAGCCCTGTCATTCGGTCGCAACCCGTCTGCGTTCTGCTTGAACATGTGCGCTGCACTTTGCGCATTACTCGCGCCTCCTCGTTAATGATTTACCCCTCGAGGAACACACCGGAGGCTTTTTCTCTCGGTCACACGCAGAAGTTGAACGCTTTCATGCGGCAAACGAGTTGCCCTTGCGCCTTGCGCGGCGAACTTGACGCGACTTGACGTTATTATTGGCAGTCGGGAAAAGCCGCGAGAAAGAGCAGCGGGAAAGCAACCGTTGCACTTTCGCGATAACGAAAATTTCGAGAATTTCCGCAGCGGAGAGACACCGTGGATGAGAAAATCGTCGGACGGGAAAGTTAGGCACGCCGGCAGGAGAAGTGCCGCGTTAGATTGAAGAAGATTTGTTTCAAAGTGCCAAGTTTTAAGCAAAGTCCGACCGATGTGATCAAACCAAATGATACGTAAACGGTTTCGTTTGCACAAGACCAGCTCTTTACGTGACAAAAAATGAAGGGAACCTCAGTCGATCAGAATACTTGCTTACTCACGTGGGTTTTGCGATTCTCAAGTGAGACAGTCTCTTTGTTCCTCTGTCTTTTTGCTTTCGAAGAAGACTTTCGGCTTTTCGGCCGAGGTACAAATTCGTTGTGCGGCTCGATAACGCCGCTGCAGTTATCCGTTATCGTGGTATCGCCATGCCGCTGGCCAAGACTCGACTACAGATCAACAGGTTGTTGCGCTATCGCTATTTATCGCGAGCGTTCGCCGTTTTAAGGGATCAAACGGGCACTGTCCTTGCGTTGTTCTTACGGCGCTCGTCATCGGCCATAATAAGTGCCACGGTGACGCGAGATGAAGAAAGCGACGACGGGCTTGATCGAGGGAGAGATCGGGACCGATACCGAGCGAAGTGTCGTGTTTCTGGCTGCTGCTCACTTAGGGTTGCTGAATGCGGCAGCCACATCCGGTCCATTCAGGCCCATTCACGATCTTGTCGAGCTCAATGGCGTAGGCGGAGCTCACGACAAGGAGTTGGTACCCCATTGCGAGCGCGCCCACCCCCGCCGCCCAACGGCCAGATCTACGTGTCTCTCCCTCTGTGCGCGCGCGCGCGCGCGCGTGCGTGTACCTAACCGAGGGACCTAACTCGGCGACAAATCGATCCATTCAGATCCTTCGACGTCATTCAGCGGGCCTCGTGTTGTCGCTCGTAAACGGGTTCCAACCAAAATACCGGCATTCTACGCGGCTGAGATTAACGCGCCCCTTACCGTCGATTGTCAATCGACAATGCCGCGCTTATTCGCAGCGATCGGCAGCGACTCTTCCGCAGAATGCGAGGAAGCGTTGGCGCGAAGCGTACGACAGATTGTGACGAAGGGACGTAGAAGCGTCTCGCCGTGCGGGTTCAGCTACGAAGTTCGAGTCGTCGAAAATCAGCGGAAAATGTCGACCGAGGCCGCGAGGTCGAATCCCACCGACGACGCTATCGCTCTCGCAAAAGAGCTTTCGCTTTAAGAACGCATCGCGAGCGAAAGCATCTCGCCGTGGCCTTCTCTTTCAGAGAGCAAGGCACAAAGAGATATTGTTGCAACGATAATTATCACAGCCTCTGTAATGCAATCCCGTAGTGCCAAAATGTTGCGCCACATTTTCCTCGCGCGAAGAACTCTAGACGTTTCTAGACTCTTGAGGCTAAGTGCGAGACAATACCGACGTAATTGTTCAGTGACACTTCTGCTTTCAGGTCGCATTCTTTACGACATCCCCTGCAAGGTTTGCAGAGATCACTCCTCGGGGAAACATTACGGTATCTTTGCATGCGACGGATGCGCCGGTTTCTTCAAGAGGTCGATCCGCAGAAATCGGCAGTACGTGTGTAAGGCGAAATCCGAGGGGGGTTGCATGGTAGATAAGACCCATCGTAATCAATGTCGTGCTTGCAGATTAGCGAAGTGTATTCAAGCCGGTATGAACAAGGACGGTAAGTCGTAGGCGGGATAGCGTGATTATTCCTTATCATTGTTAATTAATTATCCATTGCTCTCGTTCCGCGTGAGGCGCGATTCCCTGCTTCGTTTTAAAGCTTACTTTGTCGAGTCAGGTCGTGTTCGATGCATTTCTTAAGTGAATACTTCCGAAACAATTGTCCTTTGCATCTCCTACGAAGGCGAAGAATCTTTCTTTTCACTCGCTCTCGAACGATCGTCTGACATTAATCGTGAACCAAGATTGCTTCGCTTCATTGCGCTGGAGTCTTATTCGGTGACGAAAAGACCGCGTCTCCGCCATGATTTCCGTCACGATAGGCCAAAGAGTAGAGCCAAGGCTGCTCGTATATTTTTCGTTACTTGTCTTTTCCCCTCACGTCATGCCTCGCGTCGCTCATCGCGAATTTCCGCACCGCTGTCGTTTCAGCTGTGCAACACGAACGGGGCCCGCGAAACTCGACGATTCGCAGGCAAATGGCCTTGTACCTGAAGGAACCCGAAGTGATAGCCAACATAGTGCCGCCAGCGGTGACAGCTTTGGATCTGGCTTTGCCCAAACCGTCGGCCGAGTCTCGCGTCTCCATAGCCGCGCCGCCGACTCATCCCCCCTTACCGCATCCTATTTACTGCAACGCTTTAGCGATGACGAAGGTAAAATTCAGAACTTCAAGTTCGCGCAATCGAGGGAATTAATGATCCATTTCCCTCTCCTTGCAGTTTCCGTTGAACATGGCGAGCTTCTCGATATCGCTGATACCGCCGATCACGCCGGAGTCGATCTGCGAGCAAGCAGCGCGGATCCTCTTCTTCAACGTGCACTGGACGCGAGACCTGGTGACGGGCGCGAATCTCACCCTGGACGACCAGCTGATGCTCTTGGAGGCCTCGTGGCGCGAACTTTTCTTGCTGGCTACCGCGCAGCTGATGCCGACCCTTGACCCCACGCCGCTGATACCGCCGACTTCTCGCGGCATCGAGCTGGCGATCGAGGTGAATCGATTTCGCGAGACCTTGGCCAGCTTCCACGGGATGAACCTGGACTTCCAAGAGTTCAGCTACATCAGAGCGATAGTGCACTTCAAAGCTGGCCTGGAGTGCGACTCGCTGTCGAGCAGCCGCAACAGCAGCAGCAGCAGCAGCACCAGCTCGTCCAGCACGCCGAATCGACTGAGGAATCCAACTGCGGTGGCACGGCTGAGGGACAGCGCTCAGCTGGCGCTGGGACAACGGCTCAGCAGCGCCAATTACGGCGCCCTCAGGTTCGGCAAGATGCTGCTGCTGTTGCCGTCCTTGCGATCCGTGTCCGCGAACTCCATCGCCGAGCTGTTCTTCAAGAGCACGATCGGCGTGATCCCGATCGAGAGGATAATCTGCGATATGTACAGGGGAGTTTGAACGTCGTGTGCAGCACTCTGTAAAGAAGCTTCGATACACCGTAGACTATATATCGAATTGACACTTGCGGAAAGAAGACGTACACGGCGATTGTTATTTTTATATTATTACGTTGAAGAGAGTGTGAAACTGTACGGAGTGCAGTCAATGCAATAAAATTACGACCTTGTCGAGTAAGGTCGATAATGTACTTAATTCTTATCTAAAATAGAGGAATAGAGGAAGGAAGAGGAAGAGATATTTAGTGCTCACGCGAACTGGGATGCAATCCCTTCGAGAGTTAGAAGAATAGTAAATTACACAGTGACGAAGAATGAAGAAGTCAGAGGCAATATAAAATTATAGCACTAGGAAGATTTTTCGACGCTCGCACACATTACATTCCTTCTTGAATGAATATCCTAAGAAGAAGAAGAAGAAGAAGAAAGGTCATTATGCGACAAGTTTACGATGTAGTTATTATTTATTAATTGTTGATAAATTATTTTGTATCTATTACAGCATTATTGACACACGGCTATATATAGTAATAATAATTATAATATTTACGTTAATTATTGACTACATCGATCATCTCCTAGCAACGGCGAATATCGAGTGATGGAGTAGCGTTGTAAGCACAGAACGCGGCGCAGTTCACCAATGCCAATGCCACCACAGGTGCGATGTTGATCCATACATCTATTGCTGCGAGAAGATGAGGAAACCTAGGCGTCTAAGACGCCTCGTCGTGCGCCGATCTTTTGCTCATTTGCCAATTTTGCTTTTAATTAATATCTTACTTACCAAGACACAATTTACAGAATGACTTGAATGGGACTTCTCTGTTCAATTCGATGCCCGCCCGACGACCGCGTTATCGCGTTTAAAGTCGGACGTGTCTCGTATATTATTAAAAATGACGAGTATTATATTTATCACTTTCTAACACGTCAGAACTTTTTTTTCCCACGATTTCTCCTCTTTTGTTAATTCCAAAAGTGATGAGATATGCAAATATCTTTCTTATCCACTATATACACGAGCATGTACATATAACTGTAAAAAGGAATATGTAGTTTCGTTATGTAATTGTCTTATTCGAATGGTTGATAAAACATTCAGATAGCTGATAGATTGTAAAATATTATCTGGTACACGACGAAGCACGTGTGTTAGGGTGCATCAAAAATATAAAATATGAACGTAAGTATGAAATAAGAAAGGATTTTCTTGTCGAGCGTGTGCATTCAACACCGGACATTAGTACTTTATACTTTGTGTTTTCGATACACCCTAACGTGTATGCATTTGAAAATAGAGCTTTAAAATAAATAAATATAACAATATGTAATGTTAAATGTCTTTCCCTCGATTTGATTTCTATCAACTCAATATTGTCTCAACATACGTAATTTCTTTAAATATACTTTTCGAATACGCCAAAATTACGAAACCCCCGAAAGCCCTGAATACTTCAATGAAACTTGAAAAAACTTCAATAAAATTTAAACAAATAGAACACGACTGAATATGAATGAATTACACATTATCACAGAAAGAAACATTTTCATCCTCGCATATAAACAAGAAGAATCACCTTATCGTTGTTTATATAATATTAATACGGAGTATAAATACTCGTTTTTTTTTTTTTCAAATACTAATTAACTCAGCGGGAATAAGACATTTTATCGTTATTATCAACAATTACGTAGAGTCGTCTGGACGAGTAAAACGGAATAATCACCTGGGAATGTAAACGTAAATTTATAACGGCGGATAAAGAGGGCGAAGACGTCTGCGGAAGGTTTTACCTGACCGTCGAGAACACAATGCGTCGCGTTCTACGGGAATTTTACGGTGATTTGAGCGATAATCGGGCACACAAAGGAGGCCCGCGCTGCGCCGATTCTGGTTGAGGCTGTCAATGTATTTCGAAACATTCCTTACCACGATAGATCAACATGTAATCACTAGCTCGAGTAAATATCCGTCGGGCCATGTAACCTCTGAAGTTTGCGTCGTCTTTGTCAACGGCCGTTACCACTGCTATATGTTAAAGATGTGCGCGCTGTTATTTCTAACGATAATCCCAGCTTTCCTGATTCTTCCCGAGATTTGGCTTTTGTTGCATCGCTTCGTGTTGCCACAAACAGACTCTTCTGTACTTTCTTTATATTCCAATTCCTGCTTTCTACCAACAGGAGCGCCCAGGAACAGAAGAGAGGACATCGCATCTGAATCAAAGACGACACTCGATAGCTCTTATGTTTCGAGGACGAAGAATCGTTTAAATTTTACGTTATCACACATCGAGTATCCGACCCATATTGGCGAATTTTCGGGTTCGATCATTTCTGGCTCGCAAGATCGCGTAAGATTGCGATTCACGCGAGATGCGAATGCGTCGTAATAATGTTTCGTTCAATCTTCTTATGCGCTTATCTTTCGCTCTCCTTATGAAGAGATCCGAGAAGAAAAGAAGAGAAAATTCTATTCGACGTACGTAAGAAATGCAGTAAGGGCTGAGGGGCCACGGTTTGTCGGTTTGCACTTACATTACGACACGCTTGAGAAACGAGAAAGAGTATTCTCACGAAATTGCGAGATGCGGGACGCGCATCGTCGCCTGCCCCAAGTGACTGCGCCGAGTGACTCTCGTCGTTCGCATGAGCGAGCTCTCGAATGTTGCCACTTGTCGGAAGTAGTGTTTCCTCAGCCCTAAATGTGTTTCTATCGACACACAGATTCCTCATTCACATTCTCCTCGCGCTCGTCAAAGTGGACACACGTGTTTCTCCCAAACGTCAGTTCTCCCAACGCGACTTCAATCGCGCGGGGCGACTGTTGATGTCAATCGCATTCCCGCAACTGAACGCGCGTCCTTTCCCAACATTGCTCGCATTTTTGCCAATGTCGACCGCTCGAGACCTTCGAGAGCTGTCTCGAAAAATACGTATAACGAAGGAGCACAGCAAAAGTTAATCTTTCTTTTCTTCTTTAAGCAGGATCGTGGCATGATCCTTTCCCTCTCGCAAGGGTCTTCAAAAATTGCCTGATTTATAATGCAAAAAATACGACTTTTACGGTGCATTCTAGCTATTTTATCAGTAGCAGGGGTGGCTTAGTTATCCAAGCAATTTGTCAGCTCACAACGCCGAAATTCAGAGAGCTTACTTTTTGAGGATTCCGCCACTCGGTCGGACGTCGACTACTGCTTATAATCTATGGACGTCCGTACGAACGTCCAAGGAAATCCGATTTTCTATAACTGGATTCTTTCTTCGAGTCCGTATTTGACCTTCGTACCTGCACCCGCTTTTCGTTTTTGTCTGCTTCACCGGCATCTGCGACATTTGTGCGAAATCTGTGTAAGGGTTAACTCGGGTCGTTCTTCAGATACTTTCGTTTCACGAACGTAGATTGAACGGTTGGCTCTCATGCCCGATGATACTTCCAGTCTCATCGGGCATTTAAATTTTATATTCTAACCGTTCTCCCCTTCTAATAATTTGCGTGAAAGTAAGCCGCCTCGATGTTTCTACATCGAGATTATTTTCTGTAAAATTGAAATTGGGGTCGCAAGGAACAGACGACGAAAGATAATTGACAAATTCAATCAATCATCCTCTGGACAAATTTTTGTAATTCTCCCAACTTAGCGATTGACGCATTGGTGCATCTTGCAGCACGATGTCGAGATTATTTGCGAACGGAGGAACGAGCGAGAGATCGTCGCGGTTACACAATGACCGCGGGCTCTTCGGGAGCGACAAAGGGTGCGCGAATCGCTCGAGAGCGACTGAGAGGGGCGATATCGCGGCTCCCAATTAACATCTCGATTTAATAAAACCCTCAAGCCGCCGTATGTTACAATTTCCCGTACAAAGTGTCCGCCGGCGACAGAGAGCCCGCTCGCCCTTCCTGTGTTCGAAGGGGTGCTGTGCTCTCATAGTCGAGAAGGCCAACGCTCTTCAGCAAGTAACACTGTAACGTTTCCGAGCGAGTGAATAATAATCCCGGGACTTCTCAACGACGACGAGCCACTCCGGCGGCAACGACTGCGACGATGACGGTAACAGAACGGCGCATTGTAACGTTACAGCGGTGGTCCGAGATGCCGTGGAATTCCTCCGGCTAAAATAAAAGTTACGCCACGTATCGGACTCTCTCTTCTTGCTTCAATGCGTGTACGTGCAGGTCACTAACTACGGTGGGGCTTTATTGTTATACTTGTTATTATTATCTTTGATACATCTTACATCGTACATTTTGTATATGTTAAATGTATAAAATATTTAAAATATTTCGCGTGCTATTTGTTGTTGAAATATTACGTATCGTATTGATATTAATTTCATATCGATATTTTATACTTCATATACCTTGCGTATTTATGTTATTACGTTAATGTCATTATAGTACGTTGTTATATCATGTATGAAATCATATACTTAGGTTATAAATTTATTTGAACGTCCAGGATGTTTATAAATTTCCAGAATAATAATTTTAATATTTAAAATTTAATTTTAATTAATTTTAATTTAATTTAATTTAAATTTAAATTTAAATTTTTTAATGATAACCTTCTCGACAATTAGACATATTGTCGCAGGTTATAAATTTATAGGAACGTCGAAGATGTTTATAAATTTCCAGAATAATAATTTTAATAATTAAAATTTAATTTTAATTCATTTTAAATTTAATTTTAATTTTTTAATAATAATTTTCTCGACAATTATAAATATTGTCGCAAGTTTCTGAAAAATCATAGAAAGCACACGAAAAAAAACAAACGAAACGGTTTGCGACGTCCGAGACGTGTAGAGAAGCTCGCGGTGTCGCTTTCCCGCGAAATTTCCCGGGAGTCCACGTTATTGACGACGACGACGACGACGACGACGACGACGCCGGGCCGCGATAGCCGCGTGTGCGCGCAAATGGTTCCCACCGGTGGCGTATCAGACAGCACCTTGCCGCGGCGGGCCGCGACGAAAACACGCGGCACAATCGAAGAACGCGCGGCTCATTCCGCCGAACAATGCCGGAAACAATAACGCCGATCTCCCATTACTCGCCTCCGCCGAGCCCGCTATAGGTATCGCCGGTAACAGTAACAAAACGCGCTCGGGACACAATGGGGCGACGATGTAATTGCGCCCTACGGTGACGACCGGTGCTTGTACGCACAAAGGGCACTCGACTATATGTTACAATCTCGATTTCGTCGCCGATCCTGCAAGGATGGAGACGACGACGAGAGAGAGAGAGAGAGAGAGAGAGAGAGAAAAAAGCCCGGGAGACCGCTCGATGCCTCTCGAGTGACCTCTCGCAGATCGCGCCTTGCTTCGCGCGCCATTGTCGGCTTTGTTTTGAGGTAACAAAATAGAAAACGCGCCCCCTTCGCGATCGCCATTGTAGTCAATTAGCGGCCATGTGATCCCGGACGAGTCCACATCGCGCCGTAGCGAGATGTTCCTTCGATAATTCTCGATACGCTTGCAACTTTCGAATTTATTTAATCGCAAAATTATGCTCATGACTCGGCTACAAGTCTACGATATATTATCGATGCTGCGAACATGTGTCGTTGAGAAAAGTTGAATTCCCGAGGTTCGAGAGACTCGGCTTCCCTAGCGAGCAACGATTAGGTTAAACTGAATTTGCATTGCGTCAAGCCTAATTCCCTCCAGCTCTGAAACAAGCTCGGTCACCACCGTTGCGTCGAACGCTGCAATCACACACGCTCGTTTAGCCTCACGGCACCGGTAACCAATCTGGAATAACGGAGAAAAGGATCCTCCAAATCGGCCTCACCCCGCGCCGCTCCGGCTCGCTACCTACCCTCGATATAATTTATTCGGACAATAAGCATGCGTCTATACCCGGCACTCACTCCACCACCCCTCCACCGCGCCGCGCCGTGCCGCGGGCATCAGTGTCAGGGCTCGGTGATGAGCCCCTCAATGACAGAGACCAACATAATCTGTTCCCATCAGCCAAGTAGACATAATG